ATCCCTTCCAAACCGTGTATCGCCACCAAGTTCGCAGTGAGGGAACGAGTCGACCTCCCCAGCAGCAGGTAAGTAGTCCATCAAACAATTGCGAAGCCGTTCATACGCCCTGATATGTTTCCTCCCGGGTCTATTGGTGGCACATGCACTGAAGCCTCGACCTAGGTCTGAGGGTCGTATCCGGCCAGAACACTCAAGGCATACTCGGGATGCGCCTCCCTTGACACTCAGGGGAAACGAGAGGATGGGTGGGGGCGGGGCGACACGACAGGTGCCGGTTGTCCCACCCCAGTTCAGGACAGGGAGCCAAGTGGGAACCGTCCTGCCGCGGGCAGTGTTGCCCATGTACCCTCATCACCCCTACTGCCCGCATTGCGCGCCCCCGCCGGTCATGAGTGTTCCGGCGCCGTTACCCCCTCATATTCGCTGCGTGTTTCCTCCACGGCCGAGCCTGGTCCCAGCAGGAGCCCTCCTCCCTCAGGGCGTTCGGCACCCTGTAACCGTGGGACCGCCGCAGATGCGGCCGTACCACCTGCCCCCGGTGGTCGCAAGCAGGATCGGTGCCAGCGGTTTACCAGCTCCAGTGCGACCCCAGTACCACCCCTTTCCCCTTCCAAGACTACACCCGCCCCCGCCAGGACCCAGCGCTGGGTGGGGTACGCATCAAGGACGTCGGCACCGGGTCCACATGCAACCTGACCCCGTCGTATACTCAACTCATCGGAGTGATGTGAGTGAAGGTTTTTCCATTTGTCTGTAGAGCCGTCCATTGATGAGCGATTGCATCGGCCAGTCCGATGAGATAGTCCCTCAGGCTGTCAGCAGCCGAGGACAACCCAACATCTACGGTGCTATAGGCACACCTCCCAATAGAGGGTGGACACGGCACGCTGGGCCATCGTCTGCCAAGCGAGGACGCTCATGACGTTGGCCGATGACAACTACCAACCCGCACATTCCGGCCCACTCGCAACCTTACCAGCCGACCAAGTGCCAACGTCCAATGTCCCTTACCCACATCATCCAATCTACCATAACCCCCTCGCGTCTGAACCTCGACCTCCTTCAGCAGGCCACGGCAGTCATTGCGACTACGATGCCACGTTGGCATTTGTGCATGCACCGGGCCTGTTTGTAACGCATGTTTTCGTCTGCGTTTACACCGATGTGCTCGCAATCGATTATGAGCTTTGTGAGAGGAAGATGCCGTTGATCCTTCCGTTTCTTTCCTTGCTACGGGAGTCGGCGACAAAAGTAAATACTGTTCGTCCGGACGCGTCATTTTTGCTTGAGGCACTGTGTTGTCCTCCAGTCAATTATGTTCAACCTATCCGATCCTGACCGTTATTTTGATATCCAGCATCCATCAGATCACTCTATTTCACACTAGACTCATGTACTCCAATTTTGATCGTGTATTACCACCATCTTTATTACTGTAACAAAATTTCCAAATACAATGCCCATTAAGCTCCGCAAAGAACGATAAATGAACGCGCAGCATTGAAACTGATGCAACAAGTGAAGTGGCAGGTCCCCAAGCCACTTGAACGTAGATGCGCAATGAAATACTACGGGCACTCGGCATGCAGTGTGATCGTCCACCAGGTATTCTAAATCAAGGCAACACCAACGTACCTCTCACCTGCCACCACCCACGCATCGGCATAACCACCAACCGCCATAAAATGTACACAAGAGGTTTCTCCCAACGTCAATGGAGCCGGCCTAGATTAGAGACCACGAATGTGCGCATGAAAGAAGTCCCGGAAGCCAGCTCGAAAGTCCTTGGTGAATGGAACTAACCTAAGCGAGACGAGCAAGAAAAGCTTAGTTGGCGGTTCCGTCCTGCCAATGATGGATGCATGAGATCGACTGGTGCGTAGACGGAGTGGGAAGCGTTGGCGCTGTTTTGAGCATGTAGACGTGATGCAAAGAAATGTAGTGCGTCAAATACTTTGGAGCCCAACTATCAGATCAGGAATGGAAAGCAGCCTCCTTACAGGCCAGTTAAAATTGTCACTGCAATCTGAACGAGAGCTATTGTATTGCTAGGAAGAACTCCCAAATTCGCAACTGCTGATGAACGTCGATCCAGTTACTCATAAACACTCAAAATTGGCTCGGGCGATATATTGACCTCCGTTAGCGGCTGCGAGACGATGCACCCACAAAGCAGTCACGGGAAATAACGGGGCTCGCATTGACCTGCTGTGCAGGTAATTACCGCATTGACAACCCTGAACCCATCGCCAATCTCATCAACTGTGCCTGCGAGCCCACTCTTCGCCTTTCCGAGCCTCGTCGTTCCTTCGCTCTAATCATAGGATGCGCCCCCAGTGTCCACTTTAAATAAGTCATGCATGAGGGCAGAACCTCAGCGGTGCGCAGTTACCAAACAAGGGATGTGGTGGTAGTGGATCAGATGCATTACCCCGCGACCTCGAGATGTCGTGGCATTGCGGCTACCCACACCGGTATCATCAGTTGTACTTTATAACGCCGGATTGGGCAAAGACCCTTCCTCATGTGATGCCGAGAATTGTAGAGTTGGCCCACTGAGGTGTACGTCTGAAGATGGTGCTGCTGAGCAATAGTCAAGTTGCCCATTTCCAGAATGATTCGGCAGCGATTTGAGAACCGATTGCATTTCAGTTCGATCATCAGGATTAGGCTTGAGGCAGGGAGCCAGAAGTATCTCAGTAGGGTCCGTCGAAGAGAGGGTAAACGGTGGCTTTCCAAACCCAATAGCCTTGATAATGGCAAAGTCATTTGTAATGGAGCAATATGGTCGCGCATCGCGAAGAATCTGAGCATAACTGTCAGCCCCCAATAAAGCGTTAAAATATCCATTCATACCTCGAGGGCTGTGCATCCGAATGCCCAGACATCACTCTTTTCGTCGCGAGTGGGTTTCTCATCTACGATCACTTCGGGCGCTAAGTATCGAAACGTCCCGAACGTGCTCGCGTTATTGATATGTGTTGAGGGGTCACAAATAATGAACGAAAGCCCGAAATCACATAACTGCGGGGTTTCCTCACTACTCACGACAACATTTTCCTGACGATGCAAGCGGATTCACGGGAGTTGCTGACCGTGACTTCCTATAACATGACAATGACTCACAGGCTTGATATCGCCATGTATTATCTCCTGCGAATGGAGATATGCCAGTCCATTAGCAATACCGCGGATCTGGAACAACATCCTCATGAACATGAAAAGTGAACCAAATGGCGCAGAGTTAGACTCACCAAGGCTCGGCGATCGGCATCGCGACGGCGCCGTAGAAAAGTCCTGACATCCCCTTCGTCGCACCAATGTGACACCAAGCTTGGACATAACTTTTCCTTGCTCTCGAGGTATGACATCCATCCGAGAAGTTCAACGATGTGTGCATGCGTCAGCTTGCGCCATACCCTCATCTCACGAATTAGCCGCTTGGAGGATTGCGAGTGAATGGCAGAGAATCATCATGTCCGCGTCAACATACTTCAATAAATTTTCCTACATCATCAATACGTTTGAAAGTTTTTATGCAAACCTTGTTCTAGAAAGATGCGCGAGATGGCAGCTCAACGAGTGGAGGACTGTGAAAAATACGAACTGTGTTGTAGGTCCCCTTGTGAATCTCCCCGAAAGCACCCCATGCCTGATTACCCCACATAACTACCACTTGGTCGTTGAGCTCCCTGGGGTCAACTCGCAGCAGTCTCTCCGTGACATCTTGTACTAGGGATTCCTCATCGTCGGGCAACATGGCTGAATCCTTACTGCATGAAGTGCAAGAGACGAAGAGAGTGGTGGAACAAGGGTTAAGGTAAAGTGACCTGGACAGAAAGGGCTCATTCGATCTGGCCGCGCAGAGCACCCTTATCTTGGCAAGACCTTGATGATCGGATGCAAATTTGGGGCGAAGGGGCGCAGATAGGGGCGCAGCTCAATCCGGCGAAGCTGGCTGCTCTGAACCTCCAAATCTGGCGTGGCTTATCACTGGCCTATTCGATGTGGGGAACTCCCCGAACTGCTGGAGCCTATATCATAAGGCTGCCTAGACCTTTGCTGAGCTGCTTCTCTGCACCGTGTACCGGCCAAGATGGCAGAACTGATATCTGCTTCATCCGCTTCAAGTAGTCACATTACCTTGCTTGCAAGGTCACTTTCCGGGTCCACAATTCGTGGGAATCTTCACTTTCCCACCCCACCGATCTCTCGTCCCATTGGCTACTACGAATCCTGACTCGTGATCTCCTCAAGTGCTTTTACATGTCCCATTCATTTCGTGAATTTATTCGTTTATTCGTTTATTCGTCACAAGGTCGTGATTATGTGGTTTCGATCCGTTGTCCACTCTGCCACTCTGCCACTCTGCCGTCTGAGTCCTCTCCCATCTGGTGCGCGTCTCCTTCCCCAATCTTTCATCTTCTATCTCCAAGATTGGACTTGCTGATTGTCTGAAGAGCCTCTCATTGAATGCTCGCAAAAGTCGGATCGTGTCACGGCCAGAGCTTCGCCATAAGTGTTGAATGGTGTCAGCCCTCCTGTTGGTGGAGGTGCAAGATCGATGATGACATGCCGGATTGTTTGGCCTTGAGATAATCTGTGAAACCATATGCCCCTGTCATAGGCAGCTGTCGGTACTTCACTATCTTCGATTTCCCATCGACAACATCCACCCGATCTCTAGCCACTTCTTCCTTATCGACTCTTTTCGGAGTGTCTGAATCCTTAACGTACCTGTTGTCAGTCCCCCCGCCTTCTGTCTACACCACTACAACAGCCGTTGCCATTGGCTCGTCTACCATTATCTCAGTCATCACAGCATCATCAACTCCTCCCGCGTCGACAATATTCAGTGACTCTTCAGGCTTCAAAACTCGCAGGGATTCTGAAGGCTTAATCGGTGGCGCGATTGGTGGCGTCCTGGCTAGCACACAAGCAAGTAATCGCTCCAGCTTGACTCAAGAGACGTTATTTTCAGGTGCTCGTTCATTTGTGTCCAACATAGTCTTGATGATCTCTCCCTGTGGGTCAAGGGCTGAGGAAAGGATGGGTCGCCCTCTGAGCGCCCGCTTCCTGGGCCTTCTTTCTCACCCACTAAATGTCAACGCCAGGTTTTCAACTGTTGTGTGATACACTCTTATGTAAAAATTTCTCTCCACATTGCACTGCCTGCCAAAATGACAACGTTATTGTGCGCGTCTCTTCCCTGCAATTTGAATACTTGTTATTCTGCCATGGGTTCAAATTCCCACAAGCAAGGTCGTGGCTGCGTAAGCGGCCCTTCTAGTTGTTAGCGGCTCACACAATCTGGACGGAGAGGTGATCGATATCCGAACTACCGTCCCCACCCTAGGTGATGGAGTAGGCATAATGCTATTAACTCGACTGGGTTTCCCTCATCTGGTGGCATATTTAGGGCGAGAACAGTGTTCTCATGGAAGTCATACACGAGGTTGATCTCTCGCGGGAGGAGGCGGAGCATTTTGTTCAGGTTTGCGATTTATTCGCCAACATCAGCACAGGCTAAAATCATCGGTCATAGCGCGTGGAGCGCCAGTTGAAGATGCTTCGCTCTTTGATTTATACAAACATTGCTCGATTCCAAGAATGGATAGTGAATCTTGAGGATAAGACCTGGCTTCGCGCGAGAGTTACATACGCTGGTTGTGAGGGAGGGAAAGTGATGGATTATCTCAGCGCAAATGTGAATGCGGATCGTCAAAGACTGGTACGTTTCGCCATGTGCGCCCTCAATGCGTCCCTGTTATCCTAAGCGTTTCATTAGATTCTTGGGGTTTCCCGAGGGCTTTCATATCTTCACTCTAACGATGTCGTTCATGGGAATCTCAATCCAGTTCGTTTGCTCTGGTCTACTCATGGTGAAACTACTAGTTAGCCAATTTCCCAGGGCAACATTCACATCGGTCATGATGTCGGTGACGAGAATCCCATTCCTCGAATCAGCGGCTTTGGGTTCTCGTACGCCATGAGAGATGAACCCGTCCACCTCAAAGTGGAGGGCGCGTTCTCTGTGTCCTTAAGATATATCGCCCCAGAAATTCTGGCTGGAGACGGAGTCCCATGTGACCGAAAAGGTGACGTTTGGTCCCTTGGATCCACGCTGTCGCAGGTATTCCATATCTTTCTGTGTACCAATTAGGATCTCACTGTCTTCAGATACTCCTCGGTAGACGTCCCTACGAGAGTATCCGCAACGAATACCACCTTCTATTCGCAGTCGTGGACCCCTACGAGTGGGACTCCTCGGGTCCTTGCCATGAAACGCTTCAGAGGTGTCTCGTACGCGATCCTTCTCTCCGTCCCGCCCTCGGTGAAATTGTCGAAAGTTTAGAGTAAGTCGACTCCTTATTCATCAGCGGGCGGAAGCTGAAACCCAGCAGACTGGCCGTTACCCCTTCAGGACCCAAGCGCAAGCTTCTTGGAGTGGGCGAACGCGATCCCGCCGACACCATGCCCAGTGATCCTAAACCTCGCCGCTTTCCCTTCTGGTTCAGGAAGCCACAGCCCTCTGAGCCTCCTGATGATCGGTCGCAAGTCTCAACTCCCCCTGCCTCCAACAACCGGGTCGCCGGGCCTGCCACCGCATATGACAGAACGGACGACAAAGACCACAGCAGCCCCGCAGGACTGCATTATGGCGCCCTTACTGGTACAGCGCCCGCTCTTCTACTTCCTAGTGGCACTTTACAGGATGATACCACGAAGCAACGGACATCTTTTCGAGACAAGTCACTTAGGCTATTCCGCAGAAGTCCCACAAGTCCCACAAGTCCCACTCCCACTCCCAGTCGTCGCAACCAATCAAGCGCATCCCAATCCAAACATTTTGTGCCGATTACTTCCGTCCACCCGCAACAAGAACTTGGACCGTCAGTCCCAGTCACTTCATTGGTGCCAGCGGAATCAGTGCTTCGTAGATCCGATGGCGATCTGAAGAAAACGATGATCCGTGCCACCGAACGACTTCTCAGAACTGCGGCCGTTGATCTCATGATCGTCCCGATCGCTAATCTCTACCAGATCCCAAACAACCTTTTCACATCGATCCAAATCTTTGAGGTTCGCAAATCATCCTGACCATCCCGATCGTGATTGCCTCTCATACTCGGTGCATGCATGCAGAATGTCAGCAGAAACGCAGAGGAACTCGAACAGTTGTGCACCGTAATTCAGAAAGTACAAAAGTCGATTTTTGAGCCCCTGCGGAAGTGTACTGGAGAAATCCCTCCTGAGCTCAGGACCTTAGTGCAGGAATTCCACATGTACGCATCTCATCTTTCCTCTCGTTCACATTCACTTATTCTCTTCGTAGGGCTTTGCAAACACAAGTGGAAGAAATTAAATCAGTCCAGGAAAAGCAGGTCGTCGGGAAGACTCTTCGGGCGTCCAACATCACACAACAAATAACTGATATAAAGAACTGTCTAAATGATGGTATTCGTCGATTCGAGGTTTGCGTGCTCGAGATTTTTTGAATGGCTGGATCCTGACTTGCCATGTCTGCCACAGCTAAGATCATCGATTTTAATCCTGTTTCGTACCGAGCACGCGTCAGCTCTATGTACGTGTCTGGGTACATACTTATGGATTGCCTAATCACTAATGCTCCTAGCCGAGATATCGGAACTCAAGCGAGCCCCGGCCGAGCATATTTATGTGAAAAGCAAATCAGAGTGCCTGCCAGGCACACGAGTTAAGATTCAAGAATCCCTACTCAGGCACCTGAAGGGAGCTGGGAACCGATTCGTTTGGCTACGGGGATCTCCTGGGACGGGGAAGACTGCGATATCTATGAGTGTTGCATCCACTCTTCAGGAGCAGGGTATGCTGGCCGCGTCATTCTTTTGGGATAAGAACCAGGCAGGAACAAGCTTGGATTCTATCGAACTGTTCCCCTCTACCCTTGCTTGCCAACTCGCATCCTTCAATGAGGACTTCAAATTGTCGCTTGTCGGGCGCCTTCGGCAACTTTCCTTTGTTCACGATTTGTCTCTGGAAGAACAAATCGATACTCTGATGATTGGGCCGATGCGTGACTTGAAGGACATATGGTCGAGAAAGGATCGCCCCGTTATCGTCCTGGATGGCCTTGATGAGTGCGGGGATCAGGAGAGACTTGGATCCCTGATGAAATTAGTACTTGCCTTTGAGGAGCTGCCACCGATATTTTCTGTGCTAGTTAGTTGTCGTCCTGAGCCAGAAGTCATTTCAGCTTGGGATAAAGCTCGGGCCAAGGGTCATGTCATAGATTTGGACAAGGTTGTAGCGGAAGAAGCTTTCCAGACGGTCCGCTGTATGGTGGAAGAAGGCCTTCAGCACCTCTTTGACAAATATTTGTGGGAACCAGACAAGAAGGAACTTGACGCTTTCGCTCGGGCTTGTCAGGGGTTACCTGTTATGGCGTCTATCCGGGTTCGCGATGTTGTCCTGCAGACACGGCGTGGCCGCACCTTGCAGTCGGTGTTCCGGGAGTTGCTAAACCTCACCAATCCACCTGCCAACCTCAACTGGGAGTACTTGCGAATTCTTCGACAAGCCTACATGCTGGATCCATCTGATATTCACCCAGATGTAGCCAAGAAGTATCGCTCAGTGGTTGGCGCGATTGTTGCAGCGCATGTGACGATGGACGTCCCTTCTATGTCACAGCTTCTCAAGATTGGCGAAGACGAGGTCCGTGCGACATTGGAACCAATCAGCTCCATCGTCAATCTTCCCTCGGGAAACACAGAAGATGTCACCTTATATCACGCGACGGCAAAAGAATTCCTCACGGGGAAACCAATTGGCGATGAGAAGGACAAAGTATTTTTCATCGATACCGTGAAAGGTTATTTCATGGGATTGCCGCTCCTTCGGCTCTTCATCAATCATTGTGAGCAGGATATGTTCAGAATACCTACGAATCATCCTTTAGGAGATCAAAGAAGATGGGAGAAATTTATGGTGAAAAAGGAGGATTATCGCAGGTGCTTCTCCTATGTTATTAAATACTTGCTCAAGCACTTGGACCCTGTGCAACTTTTTTCACAAGAGTCCAATGAATTGCAGAACGAGTTTAATTCCTTCATCACGCAAAACTACCTCTTGACTTTCATGCACTTGGGAGGTTCATTATCTCATGACGAATTACCTCAATTTAATGTAAGCGTAAACTATTCATCCGACGCTTGTCTGATGTCATTTCTGATAGAATCACAATTCAGCCCAACTTCTGGGAGATTTACGTCTCGCAGCTTCCACTACTACAAATACACCATGGGAACTCTATCGATCGAAGCTTCCATTCGTTCCACCCTCGTCGTCTGTTTACAAACAATATGGCCATCTCTGTGATGTCCGGATCTTTTCCGCTTTTGGCGAGTTCTCTGGTGGTACCATTCCATTAAGCGAGGATTTACTCAGTGCCCAAGAAGTCATGCAGACAAAGTTAACTGAAGAACCAGAGGCAGGTGAATATGAAGCTAAATTCCATGAACCTGATGTTCGCAATGGCATCGTGACATGTGCTGCACTCTCCCCCAATGGTCACTATATTGCACTTGGATTTGGCAGCGGAATTATCGAAGTGGCTGATCTCGACCACCAGTGCACGATCTGCCGATTGCAGCACGATCCAGCCAATTTCCCGGCCTGGATCGAATTCGTCCACGGCAGCCACCGAGTTGCCACTGAAGATAACAATGGGAATGTAATGATCCTCGGTGACGGTATGATCCCTGTAAATCTTGGCACTCTTCCCACCGGTCCCTATCCAGCTGGAACCACAGCCTCAGATGACGGATTATTTGTCGTGCGAGTCCCACGAAATCTCGACAACCCTTGGTATGACAACATGATGCTTATATCTGTTCCGGAGGTTCCATCTATTCAGCCTCTCACCTCACCTCCTTTCTCCCCATCCTCTCAATTCTATAATACGAAGTTAGTCATTCCACACCGTCGGACCCTTGGTTTCTCTCCAGGAGCACGCTATGTTGGTGCTTTTGATGGGATCCAGGCCGTTGCCTGGTCAACCGAATCATGCCAGTGCATTGTGGGTTATCGGGTGACGAACTTCGATTATTGGATTATTAATCCAAATGTCCCTCCGACATGCTCATATCTCATCCCTCATCCTATGTTCACTCGAGCCACTATTCCCTTGGCAGAAGGCGACATGGCTGATGAAGGACTTGATTCAGTAGATGAATTCTGGATCAAATGCCCATTTTACGACGTCCCGCCATCCACAGAGTCTTCGTCCCATAGCATCTATTCGTCTGCGGTAGGAAGGACCCCACTGATCAAGTCATCATCAGTCTGGTTCGATGGCAGAGCAGAGCTTACGCTCCCAACGGACTTGAAACCCCACCAAGCTAGGGGAGCCTGGTATGGTGATCGGATACCACATGATTATACGGGGCTCTACTGCCCTCAGTCCAGCCGAGATGGAACTCGATTTCTACTCCAGGGCCGGCAAAGAGCCCCAATTGTTGTCGACATCAGCCAAATCGTTTAATATTTACTAGTACAGCGCTTCATCTCTTCTCATCGCTAGTCTAAAAGCGATCTTTGATGTATTGGCATTATAGTTAGGGAAGCGATGGAACCGTGGGTGTTGTGTGCATAGAGCAGTGAGGCAAGAACCAATAATATAATAATGTTCACCCGAATATATATCCGGAACGAAATAGCCCGAGAAGTAACATCGCGGTAACTTCGACTGAACCAGAATATAATCAGGAAGAACGGAGGGATATCTTTACTTTCTTGCAACAACGCCTCATCGTCGGTACGTGTGAGTCCCCAACATATAGACAATGGTAGTATTGGACAGACAACTAAGTTTTCGATGCATGCAAGCATGGAAACGCGGAAATGGCATCTAAGTGAGCGCTAGATATTTGCAAGGTTATGAGCAAGCGATCCAAGGGAATCGAGAGTAAATATCTCACTTCGGTTCACGACATTAGAAGTTGGAGTTTCACCTTGCTTTTAAGCGTGGAATGACTTGGAAAACGGAAAAGGAGGGCGAAAGAAGAACAGAATGACCCTACGGTTGGGAAGAGCGGTGCAACCCCAACACAGCACAGGGAACGGTGCCGAACGTCCCGACATGACTCGAAAAGCTCCGGGGATAAATCCCCAGCATTGCAGGAGTCAAGTAGCACCGGTTTTTGAGCTGGGAACCACTTGTGCAAGGTCGAGCTGTGGGAAAATTGTTTTGTTGAACACTGGCTTGGGAAGGAGCACTTATTCACAGCACTCGGCAAAGAATCGAGATATCGGAGGGTAGACAGGTATATGGGTACCACCAAGAGGCACGATGCATGTGGGTGTCGCAGAGGTAGCTCGCATCGATGTTTTCGTGCCGCCAATCCCATCGCTTCGAATTCTGGTCGCTTCAGAGCTGTTTGTTGCTTCCTGGAATAGGAAGTCAACGAAGTGGGAAGAAGTGATAGCAGGCGTACTTTCCGGTTGGATAATACCCCGTAGAGGCTTTGTTCCTGAGGACAGGGCGTTG